CTGTACAATGCTAAAAATCGCAGGCCTTCGAAGCGCATTGTTCGAAAGTTATTAAAGAAATAGTCACCGGTATTCTTGTTTATTACGGATAATAATTTCAGATATAGTAATTACTTTTTCGGACAAAACAATTGGTAAAGAATTCTTTCCTACCTTAATATAGTGAACACTATATTTAACTTGGGATGATCAAATGCATTTCTAATCACTCTACTATAGGTGAATTTAGAAAAAATGACATACCAACCCTTTTTAGTTGTTTCACAAGCTCACATTATGTCATTTAAATTGAAAATATTAAATGATTTTTTACTGATTATCGTTCAAATATCACTTTTGGAAAATGAGACTAGAGTTTTTTCGTTTTGTGCTTAAAGGCTTTGTACAAAACTTAACTGCATGAATATCTATCTACGTTTAACTTGTTTACACCGTCGTGTGGGCAATCACTCGAACGTGTTGATCTGATTTTTTTATTTATATTAAAGTTTATATTTAAGAAAAAAATATTTCATGTGACTTTTCTCATAAAAAATGTCGCCTGTAGAACAGAACGTAAGAACAAATTATACAAGATGATAGACGACTTAGTCAACTTTTTTAATAATATTTGATTTTTTTTAACACGAAAATAATGATTATTATTTTATTCAAAAATAATCAATTGGAAAAAGACGTTAAAATAAATGACAGAAAGTGACAGCTATAGTTAATATTTGTTTTTGATAAATAACAAAAACAGCGAATAGTGCGACCGTTGTCGATGATACTTGACCATCATTGATAAAAAATGTTGCTCGAAGTCAATACAAAACCTTGATTTAGAAAATTTTGGGTTGAAGTATGACAAAACTTGAAATATTAAATTATAAAAAAAATTTTATGTATGAAGTTGTGAGATGTGCATATAACCTGCGAGTCTAAGCTGAGTATATTAAGAAAGAAAGTGATTGTAAATAGCTCGAAGCATCTAACTTAATAGATAGGAGTTGAGGATAGTAACGTCAATAGACTAAAAGACATTTTGGAAATGAAAAAATATTGTTTACTCAACGTAAATAAAGTACGTTGTCGGAGCAATTCGTTGTACAGTGTAAGCAGAATTTATTTTAACTTGTATAACTCAATTATTCAATCATTAAAAAAAATTTTGGTCTGTTAGATTAGTAGAAGTAGGATAGTAAAATATTCATAATGGCTGAACCAAAGCAAATGAGGTAAGAATGAACGTTTGTTTACAGAAATATTTGATCGATTTATTGTCATGAAATATGTATGGTAAATGTGACAAGAGTTCTCAGAAACTATTCGACTATCTATTAATTCTTCATTAATGCAGACAAAAGAGTTGTATCAATAATTAGTTTCAGATTTTACGAATTTTGTCTAACTTTTTAAATAATAGATATAACGCAAAAACACAAAGATTTTTGTTATTTCTCTATTTCAAAAAAATATCTTTCATACAGTTGTTCATTACCACTGTGTATCATTGCCAAATATGTTTAACTCAGAAATTCCATTATTTAGTCCTGAAGTACAACATCGTATTAAACAACAAGATTTACTATTGCAGAAGCAATTATCATATCTAAGTCGTGAAAGTAAGAAGCGACTAATTTTATACAATAAAGAAGCAGAAGATATACGTCAAAGTCGACCGATAACGCAAGTTTCAATGAAATTTAATGAAATTTATGATGAGAGAACTGATATGTTAGACTATGATAAAATACGACAAATTGGATTGAATATTGGCTCACCGTCTCAACGTGTTGATGCTGTCCCTAGCGATACATCATTACATACAAAACGGAAACTGTGGGGATGTACGAAAACAACATTTTTACCACCAATTGTTAAGTCGTTTATTCGTAAACGATCATTAAATAATAGTTCGTCTTTTCGTACCAATGCCACAAAATGGATGGCCACATTTCAACGACCAAATATTTCCGAAGACAATAAAGTAATGTTTGACATTCCCGATGGAGAAGAAATATTGACTTTACCGAATATAAGTCCAATGCAAAGACAAGTCCGTTTATTTATTGAAAAACTTCCCGTTTATTCAGGAACTCAGACTGGTTTCGATAGTTTCAGACGATCATCGTTTTATACAGGAAAAACGTTAGTTGTCAGATAGAGAAAGACATCCAGATTTAGAAAATTAGAAAAACAGATGAGATAGACCATATCAGCAGATCACTAATATCGTATTAATTAATATGTGCAAACAAAAGAAGCATTGCTTCTTTACTATTAACATCTCTCTGCGGAGAACGTCCTCCCTCTGTCATATTGTAGAGAGCAAATTGTGTCTCCTATGAAGAGACAAAAGTCGTCACTTCTTAGCTATATTTTATTATTTAAAGCTATTAACTTGCGTCTTCACTCTCAAACATCTTTTTATAATAAGATGTTTTCAACTATTTTAAATAAAGTTGATACATCCTTCGAGCAGAAATAAAAAAAATAATTTTTATTTAGTATGGTTAGCTGAAGAGATATTCATGCAGTAACCACTAACCAGGGAAATATTTTAATCTGTACTTTCATACCTTCGTTATAGCTTAGAGAAAAATAATAAAAGATAAACACATAAGACGGATGGAAGTGAGCAGAAGACGCTTGATTCGAGGTACATGTTTTGTAGAGTCTAGATTAAGATATAAACCCTGTTCAAACTACAAGATTCAATGGACTACTTTTGGAATCTGATTATCAAGTTAAGTCTGTGTTAAATTATTAGCCAAATTAGATTCCGTAAGCCCCATAAAATTATATAGTCTGAACATAGCCATAGTTAGGGCTAATCCTAACTGTTATTCTTTGTCCTTCTCTTCACAGGACAATTTTATAATTTGCAACAAAATGAAGATTTTTCATTCGTTACGTAGAGATCAGAGATCCGGTTATTCTTCATTTGTCCTCCAAAATGGGAGAGATGATTGTTTTTATTATTGTCTTGTTTTTTTTAATTAAGAATTGAATTTTTATGTGAGTCAAATTACCTTTTTCTTGATGTGATGTATTAAGTAGTTTAGAGAATCTAACAATATGTCAGAAAACAGCATTATTTCGAAAAAAAAGAGAAGAATATAATACAAAAATAATGTAACAGCCTAAAGCAAAATAAAAGAGTCATATACTAGCGATGATTCAAAATATCAATCAACGTTATCGTCAATATTGCAATATCGTTAATGTTAATCATGAAATTTTTTATAATATCCTAGTGTTTTTTTTTTCTTCATTAAAACAAAAAAAAGTAAGGAGATCAACTTTAATATAGGCATGAGGCACGAAAACAAGTACAATATGACCGAACAAGTGATAGGATTGTGAATCAAATTTATAGAACAAATACAAAAATGAAGATGAATCAAATACAGAAAGTTGACTTGAAGATGCTCTATTAAATAGGATATTAACCAGTGTCGTACGGTACCATACCATATTCAAAAGACTTCGAAAGAGATGTTGCAGGTCAACCTTGCCCTGCTCTGAGAGACAGGACAGAACTAGGTTATAAAATGTGTAGAGCAGAACAGAGCATAGAGTCTCTATGTAAAACAATTTTTTTGCCAACGATAAAGCACAATACTTATTGCTAGAGACAAACGAAAAAGAATATATATATATATATATATATATATTTGTTTCTGCTAGAATTAGATAAATTACATTCCTTTACTAGAAAGTAAACACACAATGTGATAAAAATCATAGAACAGAACAGTCCCAGGTCACGAACATTTTTCATGGGCAGGACGCAGAATATAAAAATCAGCTGTTCTATAAGGGCTCAGTAAAACGAGAATGTGTAAGAAACTCAGCACTTAAGTAAATTAGAAGCCGATTTCAATACTAATTATCAGTGCCTTGTATTTTAAAAACTGTCTATAGTAATCAAAAAATTCTTCAAGCGCTTTAAAAAATGACTCTTTCCTGCATTAAGTTAAAAAGAAAGTGAGAGATTGACCCTGGTTGAAAGAACATATACATGTAATTATCATTTCTGACACCAGTATTACAATCTCAACTATTCTTTTTAATTCCATCTCACCAAAGCAAAAAAATAATAAAGTTGATTTTGAGTTATTGATAACGTGCTTTTTCATATCCAGTACGCTCGATAACCCGTTTATGACGAGAGATACATCCAAAAATTTAAGAAAAATTTTGAAACAAACTGACGCAAAAAAAATTTCACGGGAAAATATTAGTTTGAAAATGTTTCCTAAACTTTTGGTGGAGTACTACTCACTAAAAATAGAAAATTTTCTAGGTTGTCGAATGTGCTAAATAAGAAAAAGCATCTTTCAGTAACTCAAAAACCAACTTTATTTTTTTTTTCAGTGATATGCACAAACGAAAACTATCCGTCCTCATTTAAAATAAAATACAATTTCTTGAAAATAGTAAATAAATAAAATACATCATAAATAACTCTCTTATCCATGTCTTGCCATGTGTTGTCGTCTTTGACATTCATAAATTCGTTTGATATCATTGCGAAAATTTACATTGAAAAAACTGTATATAAGTGGATTAGCAGCACTATTCACATAAAACAATAGCCATAGCACTTCACGAAATAAATGTGGTTTAATATAAAATAGTGTATGAACTATGGATGGTAAGTACATCATAATAAATGTAGCTGTAACCATAAATAATGTTAATGTTGTACGAATATTTGATAGACGTTCTTGAGTTTCTTGACGTTCTAACATTCGTTGAGTTTCACAATCAAATGTTGATGGACGCCGAGATGATATTGATGCTTTTCGACTATCGGTGGTATTTAATGGATTTTGTGTTGAATTAATATTGGTCACTGATAAACTTTGTCTTGATACTGATGGAGTCATTGTAGAATTTTGTTGTTCAGTTAAGTCATCTGGAAATTTACTGCGAGGATTTACTACAATAACAAAAAATTACAAAAAAAATTAATGGAAAAAGTAAGACAGTCCTTTGACATCTAATTCAGAGTGGAAAATTTTTATTGTTTCAACCTTGTGGAATAACTTTTAAAACTTCGTTCTAGACTTAATAGACGCCGAATTTTGTCTAATATTTAATGATATGATTCGGTTAGAATATATCGTTATACTTTCTTTAAAACTTCTGAAACCGTAAACTCCCCTGTTTTTATTCGAACAGGATTTTTTCTACTATAAAAAAATGGCTTCTTGAGCCGAGTATATCGACAGCAAGTGCAAAGAATTTTTGATATTCTGATATATAGAAAAAGACTTTGTAACTGAACTGTTATCTTTTAAATCTTATACAAAAAATATGTGTGCTTAGTTTTTCAAACTTTTTATTTTTCATAGAAAACTAGAATTAAATTGACTCTCTTTTGTAACAAAACAAAATGTTGTTATTTTATCTTATTTATAAGATTCTGTAGATTTTGAAAAGCTGAATCTTTTGATATCTAAGTAATTAGTTTATGGCTATGCATAATAGAAAAACCCGCTTACAAAACAGATTAGTTTTTAGATGACAGTAATATTTTTTGATGGAGTTTACTATTTCGGAAGTTTCAAAGAAAGTATGATGATATATTCTAACCAAATCATATCATTAAATATTAGACAAAATTCAGCGTCTATAAAGCCTAGAACAAAGTTTTAAAAGTAATTCTACAAGGTTGAAAAAATTAAACATCATTTTTTACTCTGAATTGGACGTCAAAGGACTCTACGATTCTGTTGTTTTTTTTTAGAGATTATAGAGTTCTATTTTCTTTTGAAATTTTTGGTATTCGTGTCTGTTCGTAACACAGAACACGCTTTGATTGGTAAAGAGTATGCAAAACAGTCATAGCAAGAACTTTCTAATGGCAGTAGAAAGCAACAAATGCATGATGCGAATCTAAAATTAGAAAATAGTTAGAAAGTATTGAGAGGCAATATGAGCCGTAGTAAAAAAAACCTGTACATCTCTCAATAGGATCTTAGCAAAATCTTATAGAATCCTAATAAAATTTTAGATACCAGAAAGTTTTAGAATTTGCTACAATTCTGTTAGGATTCTAACAAGAAAATTCAATGATAAACCCTAGATAAAATCCTACGCACTTCTTATCGATTTCTCTTTACTAAAATCCTAATCTTAAGATCTTATAAGATCCTAGAAGGAAATAGGTAGAAAGGTGTGCAGGATTTTATCCAGGGAGAACTGTATATTTAACAGTTAAACTCATTTTATACAACATTTACTTTGTTCCAATAAATTTTAGATTTTTTCTGAAGGTAAAAGTTCAAACTATTCGTCTACTAACCTCGTTCTACTTAATCTGAGAAGTATTTAGATTTTCACAGAAATTTACTTTAACTAATTAGATTTTTAGGATATTTAACGGTATATTTAAAACGGTCAACTACCATCTGTTTTCTTCGATCCAAACTATGTCAATTATTTAAAATAGTGTTTTCTGATGTTAATCCGATTAATTAAATATCTACTGTAAAAAACAAAGTGTGCTCGCTAGTGTGAATTCCCACAAGAATGCCTTTCGAGTCCAAAGTGATGTGCAAATTGTCACTGTGTAATCTAAATTTTTATCTTGCGTTTCTCTATGGAAAATAAAACGGAAGAATTTAATTCTTCTTCTCTTCGGTCTTTTTCTCGTTCTGTCTGTGGAAGCTATATGTGCAATTCCAGTGTGTTACAGACACACTGAGCAAGCCGTTTTCAGTGTGCAAACACAGTCCAATGTGATGTGCACATTCAGTGTACCTCGGGCACACTTTATTTTTTACAGTGCCTTGTTGTTAGAAAATACGAAAAATGTTTAGTACATGGAAATAGTTAAACGGGAGTATAACAGTATTTTGTGGTATACTCTTATTATTATATGTTTATATTATCAAACAAATCAATAGTCTCTTTCATAGTATGCTAGATCCTAATATAGTCTCAATTGCGCAACTGAAATAAAACCAATTTAATCCATTTTACTAACACATTTAATCATTATTCTTATGTAAATTCAAATGGTTGATTCGTAAAATTTAAACTGGTTAATGATATAATAATTTCAGACTGTAAAATCATACTGTTCTCTATTTTATGAGATGATGAACAACTGATGAGTTGCACAAAGACATACCGAATGAAACTTTTCTGTTCTGTTGTTGAGATGCTCTTGATTCTAGCGTGTTTGCCGTTGATTGACTAGAAAATACTGACTCATCTGACGTTCGTTTCAATGCTACATTGCCCGTTTTAAGAATAGTTGACGATGTTGTTAATGCTGACTGTTCGGCAATACTTTGTGTAATACTTCTTGGTATTGTTGTTCCAGTATTTATGCGTAATGTACTCGTATTGTCTTCGTTGGCTTCATCAGCCTCCGTTATGTCAGCAAACTCCGTTACCATTATATTAATATTACATTTCTGAAGATTTTCCAACGTTGATGTCGTCGTTCCACGACCTGGCGTTGATGGGCTAAATGTTGGTATTGTGAGATGTGTAGATGTTGCGTGTGATATCGACGGTGATGTAGGTCTGTAAGATAATGAAAGATGAGAATGATCGAATGAGTCTTCTGTGGATGTTGAAGGACGACTGGAGCTGTGTTCACCGCAATAGCTTGTGGCCGTTATTGAATTGATTCTCGAGCGTACTGTCGATGAATCATCCCATACACCGCTGGTCAAATACGTGATACTCGTTGTACTTATTGTACTGTATCGTTTTCCTCTTGCACCATTCACTTCCATTACAACTGTATTCGATTTTAAACCATTTCTCATACCGTTCGTATCGGCAAACGGATGTTCCTTATGACGATGTCGATTATTATGATGATTTCCTGTTGGTAGTTGTGATGGTTCATAATGTGATGGTAATCGATCTCGTTGAAAATGGTGTATAATATCATCACTATTCCGACAACAATAACAACATAATAATTTTAATGTTGTAGGTGATGAATTATAGCGTCGAAGTTTGATTTGACGTTTATTTGTTTCATCATTAATTATATAACTACGAACAATCCGTCGATATTGTGATAATTTTCTTGTTCGTTGACAACGTCGCTGGTATACAGCTCGATAAATAAGTCCGTATAACACTAATACGAGTAATGTACAAACAGCAAATATAGCCGAATGAAATCGCCGATATGCATGAATATAAGAAAATGACGTTAATAATACTAAAATGACAAAATATATCAGAGTTAATGTATTGAATATCTAACATGAGATGTTTTGAAATAACTTACGATAGCTAAATCTCGGCGAACATTTGACATGAGTAGTATTTTCTAAGACAGTTGTTCGATCGATAAGTGGTTTATGTAGTTCTACATTTACATAAATTTCTCCAATATATGATTCGTTCGCATGCATTTGAAGATGATGTTCAATTGTTGAATATTCACACATTGGTATGATAGCTGTAAAAGATATGTTTAAGGAAAAAGCTGAAATCTGCTGAAATTGTGCTTACGAGTACCTAATAATGAAGATACGACACCAAAGAGAAAAACAACGACTCGTGCACGTTTTATGGTAATGATTTTATATAATGGCCAACATATGCAAAAATAACGATCGAATGCAATTATTGTGATTAAAAATGTTGAATATAATACGTGTGTAGATAAAAATGCATAAATTTTACATAAAAATTCGGTATATATGCCTGAAATAAAGAAAAAATGCAACATTTAACATGAAGCTAGGATGAGATCATCATATGTTTATAGACTACTCTTTTGTCTTACAGATTGAAAATTTATTAAAAATTCTAGAAGCCTCTTAAGTATTCCAAACAATCATTAAAATTTTCGTTCCAATTAGTTAATCAAAAATGCCTTATTTTTCTATTCTATTGTTCAACTTCAAGATCTACTTATAAGTTTGCGTTTTACATAATGAAAACTTGCTGCTAACAAGCTGTTTAATGTTTGTAAATTAAGAAGAATAATAAAGTTGAAACTAAAAACAGATTTTACAAAATAATTACAATTAATATGATTAGATACCTTGTGTTGTTTGATATAATTCTAATGGAGCTATTAGAATACAAATTGTTAAATCGACAACTGCTAACACTTTAATAAATAATGTACATGTTTTATTATCTTTTCTGTTCGAATAAATGTATAACACAAGAATATTTCCAACACTTCCAAAGACAATTGTTGACATTAACACAGTCCATATACAAACCGATACTAATATGTATAAATGAGTATCTATATGATAAGTATCATTGGCATATATATAATCTTGGTCAACTTCTATCATTGGCATCGACATTTAAATTGTTTTTATTATCGGAGTATGCACAAGATGATGAAAACAAACGAAGAGGAGCAAATTAGCAGTAAATCAACATTGTACTAAAACAGAAAAAATAATTTTCTATTTTAACTACACAGAAAAAAGCAAAAGAAATGTTTGTATAATTATTGAAAGTGAAAGAAAAATATTATATTCATGCTCAGTTTCGTTTTTTCAGACAGTATCATCAGCACCATATATATCATGTGTAAAACGAAGATGAAGAAAGGAAAATATTGAAAACGATAAAAATGCCTATTGACACTTTGGAGAATATATAGAGTACAAAAGAGGAGAGAGAGAGAGAGAGAGAGAGAGAGAGAGAGTAATATAATAATTGTTTCATGTTCAACGAAACAAAAGAGAGGAGAAAAAAAGATTGCATTGTATGTTAAACTAGACATTTTTCCATTACAGAGATTTTAGCGGTTCAGAGATATATAATTGATGAAGAAATGTAGAAAAAAAGAAAGAGAAGAGAAAGAGAGAGTTATTAAACTTGGCCTATTAGGTATCTCTCGATTAAAATTGCTTTTTAAGTATCTCAGATAATAGAACATAGAGAGAAAATAAATAACCACAAAATCGTTTGGATTCTCTCGATATCTGATTGTTAATTTCCTTTTATTAATTTGTTTTTTAAATAAAAACTGTTGTTATTATTGTTTTATAATTTGTATATTCAAAAGACTAATCGTTATAATACTTCTCAATATTTTTGTTTGAGAAACAATTCTTGTTTTTGTTTTGTAAATTGTTTTATTTGAAAAACAGGATGTAGAAGAAGGATGATGAAGAAAAAAAAGTGAGCAGTAAAAGAAAATTTATTGAATACACGACACTCTAATATAGAATTATAATAGATAATTATAATTGAAATAATTATTTTCAACTGGATGAATATGTAATTCTTAAATCCTATTCAATATAATAGTATAGTATTGACTCCATTTTCAATCAACTAGAAAAACACTTGGATGTTAATTACAGCAATAGTAATGATAAATAGTCCTTAGAGGAGAAAGAGAAAAAACTTATTTTAGAAAAAAACAAGATGGAAGAAAATTGTGAAGACAACTCCTCTTTTTCAATTATAATAACAGGAGAGTTATGGAATCGTTTTCTCTTTCTTTTCTTTTTTTGTCGGTAGTTTATTCTTTCTAATCAATTGTATAAAAGAGTTCATTTGTCTGCAATTTTGTTTATGAAATGATATATCATTAGTACGATGAAAATGTGCTGATGAGAAAGAAGTTGAAAATTGATTACACAGTAAGCAATAAAAAAATAACTTTTATATATTTTTTTTCTAGGTTTTCTACAACATGAAATACTTTTTAGAATTATAATCAAAATCGTACAAAAAAAGGATGAATATAATAATATAACTATGATACATAGTCGAATTTTGACTCCTTTTATACGATTTTAAAAATACTAATCGCAATTTTAGTGACAGTGTATGTATGTTCTAAGTAAATAACCTCAGTAACCTTAAATTGTTTGAACATAACTGATCATACGTATGAGTTGATCAGTGTTCAATTAACTTTTGACCGTTTTCACCCGTAAAAAAAGTTAACTTATTTTGTAACTCACATCGTATAGTGTTATTTTTATATTAGTGATGATAGAAAAATTAATAAGGTAAGTGGTAAAACGATGGAAAAGTGGCAACTGTTAACGATTCGTTTAGAACGTTAGCGGTCGGTTATAGATGCTAACTTTTTACAGTTACAATTGCTTTCCTCTCTTATAGCTTTACGTTAAATATCTCTTCGCTTACCCATAAATATATTTCTTTACAACATTATTCATGAAGATAATAACCTAATTGAAAGACATTTTCATTTATTACTCACTCATCAAGCAGGGAGAGAGACAGAAATTACAAAATAGTGGTGTTGACAGCAATTGTAATCTAGTCAAATAAAAGTACGTGTTTTGCATTCAGTTAATAAAACGAAACTATATTTTCTTTATATTCTTTATCATACTTTCCTATACGGAAACACTGTGACAAAAGTATTATGCATGAAAAAAAAACATCAGATCGTTGCACACAATAGGACATATAAAATGTTATTTCTCTTAATTAAAATATAAGCTATTTAAAAAAAAGTATAAATTCAACAGTTTTTTCCTCTCGCTTTATTTTTTTTTTAAGAAAAAAGAAAAGAAGATAAACCATGGACGTAAACATACTTTTGTACGCGAAAGCTTTTCCCTTCTGTATAAGATCGTTATAGATGAACTTGTATATTCATTTCAACTTACACTTCAATTTACAAGTATTAGAACACCGTTTCAAAAAGCTCAAACTAAATTCATTTTCTATTGTCCAATTATATTCGAGTTAATTAAATAAGACTATCAAAGTACCTATGAGCAAGACTACTTTTAAACTAGAAAATACTATCAATTCAAATCTATAGATACAATAGCATCCTTATACGGCTATGATTATGCCAAATATTTTCGTAATCTTTTGCTTTAAGTATCAAATCAATTTAAATTTGTGAAAACTTGGTTATACAGCAACCGATTGGATTTTGTCTAATCTCATGTACACAGTCAATAGATTCATACTCTTGCTTTAGAAAAATGTTATGCCTTAATACTTCGATTCCTTTTTTTTGTTTTAGAAAATATAGAAGAAAAAAAAGATCAATAAATTGTTAAAGTTTAAAAAACGAATAAAACGATACCGAACTACGTCGAAATCAGCCAAAAAGTCACTGGTTGGGGAAAGGACATATTTGAATAGATACTTCGTGCAACACAGTGGCTTTACCTAATGGACTATTTTACTGTTTATAAAAGACAGAACAACTTGTCTATTTATATTTGTCGTACACTTTTTCAGTGTAGAATCAATTCAAGAGGAAAATAGTCAACTCTACATTTCTACTCCGACAGATATGAAGGAAAACATTTTTCACCGAGAAGTAAAGTTTTTATCATAGAATACGATCTTTTCTGGTGATCGAGAGTCTCGAACAAAGAAGACTGAATTCAAACGTGCAATATCATGAAAACAAATATGGTTTTACATGAAATAATATTGTGCCAGATCATCTGGAATTGATCATAGATTTTACGCATAATAATGCATGATTTATCATAAACCTAAACAGGATTATGCAGTAAGTATTGTTTTCTAGACTATACAATAAATCAGGTCTAAAATCTTTATCCGTAGTTACACATACGTATGCACAAAAGCATTTTGGGCTACATAAATTCGTTTATAAGTACGAAAGAAAGTTATGTTAAGCATGATCACATTGAGTTTAATGGCATTTCATGCGTAATCACTACTATTTTATGACACATATCAACGTGAAGAAAAAAATAAAGTTCATTTAGAGTTCTGGAAAACTGCTTTTTCATATTCAGTATACTCGATAACTCAATAGATTTTCTAGTTTTGGCGAAGGATACTGTCAAAATTTTAGGAAGATTTTTCGACGCAAAAAAAATTCCATAGGAAAATATTATTAGTTTAAAAATTTTTCTTAACTTTTGACAGTACTCCTCGTCAGAAATAGAAAATCTATTGGGTTATCGAGTGTGCTGGATATGAAAAAGCACTTTTCCACAACTCTAAATGAACTTTATTTTTCTGTCGATGATATGCTTTGACACATGATTTGACATAGCAAAGAAAACAATTTGCCGTTCAATAGAGTATTCAGAAAAATCTTTCGCTATACAATATTTTACAAAAATAGCGTCATCTCTGTGACTCTAAAACCATGATAGCTAGAAACTTTTACTTCTATGTTGTTGCAGCTCTCAGTAAATGCTGATCATCAAGCAATTTTAAGCCTTTTTGACTAGATGATTCGTAAGATATAAGCATTTTATTTCTTTTCTGTAAAATGCTGATAACTCCTGATCTGAGGAAGGTGAAAACATCTTCTATTTTACCGAGTTCTGTTTCGCCCGTATTTATAGTATAAAATGAAAGTAGTAGCTCGAAATGATTACTGATAGATAGCAATTTTACAGTCGAGGATCACTTTTGAAATGTGAGGTCCTTTGAAACTTAGTTGAGAATTTATAACTCAACGCTAGGAAGATTATTTTAACTTCCAACTCGCATCAAATACCCTAAAATGTCTAATGTTTACATTTTGGTAAAAAGAAGTTTTCATCTCCCTCGGATCAGGAGTGATCAGCATTTTACAGAAAAGAAATATCCAACCGAGCTGAAAATCTTTATTTTTTGTTACGTGCACAAATCAGAAGAAGCTTGAAGATCTACTAAAGTAGAGAAGATTTGTTAGTAGAATCTGTACAAAATCTGCACAGATTTATTGTAAATTGTTACAGAATATTAAACGTTCTTGGACAGATTTCTTGCAGAACATATATTTCTTTCTAAATTTTATTATAATTTGTCCTAGTCTCTATGCTTTGTTATGTGTTTTAGATGCAATTTTCATGTTAATATTTTTCAATTTTCTACTGATGAAGCGGTAGTTTATAACGTGAAACGTTTAGTTGATAAATAAATAAATACGAAGTGAAAGTAATAGAACAATATATATAAGGTTTGCAAATAAGTTTGTGCAGATCTAAGAAAAAAACCTGCTCTTCAATCCTGTGAAATAGGAGAAAAATAGTTTTATTGTATAAAGTCGTTAGAAACATATATTAGGTTTTCTTTCATCTATCACTGTCAATTTCTTTTCACAAATTGTTGAGCAGTTTTATTTTTCTATGCTTCTGTATACTTTTTAAATCTCTTAAACTTTGTTGTCGTTTTAGGAACTATCAGATGAATTTCAATAGTGAAAGTTGTTTAAACAAGTTGAAAACATGTAAGTTATATTAACACATTGTTAACAACATGTAAAGCAAACACACAAAGTAATAGAAATCGTTTTTCCAGTTAAAAATACTAGATCTCTAGCAAAAAGAGAATGCGTCTCTTTCTCCTTTCTATCTTCTTTCTTTCTTTT